GCTAGTGTCTGTGTTTCTGTTCTTCATCAAAATCGATTTGTTCTTCATCAAATCGCAGATCCAAAATTCAAAATCCAAATTTTTTTCTTTCTATTTCTATCTTCTAAAACCATGAGATTCTATTTTTTTTTTTCTGTTTCTGCCATATGTTCGTTGATGTTCTTTTTAAACCTTGTTACAAGGAGGAGATAGTTGATTGGTGCTCTGCCCCTCTACAAAGAGGGATGAACACTTGGATGGAGTGGAAGACAACTGTGTAATTGATCCACAGCATTAGGGATATTGTTGATAACTTGGGATATTAGCTCTTTCTAGGATGGTACACCTTTTGTCTTTTTAACTAGTACACGTACATGGGCTCCTCCTTTTGGTGATTTGTAGTGAATTCACTTAAAAACAATTAACTTGACATCTCTCTCTCTCTCTCTCTCTCTCTCTCTCTTTCTCAGGACCTAACATCAGCTCCCAGCAATGCAGTTGATCGTACTGTTTGGACATTTAGTCAGAAGGCTACAATTGAGCTCACACAATATATTTTATTTTGATATCACTTTTTTTTTTTTGAGAACGTGGGTTCTGAGAGTTTTGGGACCCACTTTGTTTGGTAATCTTGATCCTATATCTTCAAGCTTTGTATTGTAAGCTTCACTTGCTTGTTGCATCTGTTAACAGGTGTCTGATTTTTTCAAACTTTCATGAAACAATGCTAACCTGAAATTGCTGAATAATCAATTTAGGCAATTGCTGGCTTGCATAGAAATGGAGATTGGTCTATTCATTAGGAGAACATTGATGGTGGTGTTATTTTGTCTGTGGGTGCCCATGAAAGTCATGGCTAGGACTAGAAATGCTAGTGTTTCTTCCTGAAAGCCAAATGTAGTAAATATTGGAGCTCTGTGCACCTTCAATTCTGTTATTAGACAATCAGCAAAGCCAGCAATTGAAGCTGCGGTTGATGATGTCAATTCCAATTCAACTGTTCTTGTTGGGATGAACACACACAAAGAGAAGCTCATTCATATATTTAGTTTTGGTATCTTTGCTCTTTCGTGTCTTTTTCTTCCAGTTCATTGTTTCTCTCTGATTTCATTAGCCCTAATAGTGTTTTTTTTGGATATATTCCATGTCTAATTTAGTCAATGATGGTTGATTGTTTCAGACATCTGAGCTCTGCGAGAAGTTTGACGCCAACAAACACGTGGATTGAAGAGTATATTTTGTGTGGATTGAAGAGTACATATATTTTGTGTAGTAAAAATCTCATGAAATGTGCAATTAATTTGGTTCATAGATGAGTTGAATACTTTTATGTATTTTTCCCTAACTTTGTACAATGTTTTATGATGGGTTGATTACAATATATTGGATGTATAAAAATTCTGATTAGCTTGATGCATGGTGATATGTGAATTTGAGCCATTTGTGTTCGTAGTTCAATTTTCAAGCCACCTTCTTTAGTTAAATTCTTTGGCTTATGCTATGTATATAATAATAATAATAATAATAATTAAAAAAAAGGTGGCGTTTTTTTCAAAAACGCCACTAAATGACGTCATCATGACGTCACACGTTAATTTGTGACGGAAATGGAAGTTGATGTCAAAGATTTAGTGACGTTTTAAAAAACGCCGTCTTATATTTTTAGCGACGTTTTTAAAATGCCGTAAAGCTATTGCGGCGGCTGTATTAGCGGCGAAAATTTTAAACGTCGATTTAACTTTTTATGGCGTTTTCTAAGCTTTTAGCGATGTTTTTAAAACGCCGCGAAAACTCAAATTTCCTGCCGTGCTAGATCAATTAGTTGAGTATTTTTATAATGTTTGACAAGTAGATTTTAGTGACATAAATCCAAAATCAATGGACTAAATTATTCACACAAAAAAGTGAAAAGATTAGATTCAAACTATAGCGTCTATTTTGTAATTTACTTAAATTAAATTATTAAAATAAAAAATCGAGTGAAAAATGCAAAAGTTGAGTACGGTTTTGATTGAAGTAATCAATTGGGAAAAAAAGGAGGAAAAATACAAGTCTTTCTACATATAGATAAATGGGAAATTTTAGAATTTTAATTATTAAATTTATAAAATTTTCAATTGATGTGTAATTTTTTTTTTTAAATTTTTTTTTGGGTACTTTTACACTGAATTGCTCCCCAAAAGAAAAGGCATAAATATGGTGTTATATATAAATCAATAATTTTTTATATAGAACTTTTATTTGAAACATATATTAGTGGTTCACAATTGCAATTAGTTATAAGATCAATTCAACTTACGTTTGCGCCTCAATTAATTGAAATTGACTACACGTTGGCCTTGTTTGGGAAAGGTTAAAAGTTGACTTTTTAGATTAAAACTTATAAAAAGATAAAATAAATTAAAATGGTTAATAAAATAAAATATCACATCAAATTCATAATTATTTTTTTTTTCTCACAAATATCACATCTAATTATAAAAAAAATCCAACTATCTTCCCAAACACAAAAATTTTAACTTACTAAAATAGTCAAAAACTAAAATAGGGAAGACAATTTGGACTAAAATAACTATATAAGACAAAATTTACTATTTTAGTCAAATAGGATAAAATGTCACATCAAACGCATAATTATTTTATTTTTTCTCTAAAAAAAACCAAACAAGTCAAAAAATCTATTTCAAACAAATTTTTTTAACCTCAAAAAATATCAAAAAATCACCTCACAACCCAATGAACTCATAATTTTTTTTCCTTATTCATTTTGTCAAGGATTACATAATTAAATTTGATAAATTCATAGCTGTAGGACAAGATAGCGATGACTATCTACTTGGTGAAATTGATTTTTACCTATATTATTGACTTGTAATGATCGTCACCTATTATGAGAGTTAAGGAACACAAAAACCGACAGATAACACAATATAAATATAATATAAACACATTAATACATTAATTTTTAAAATTATAAAATACGACGAATAAGAAAAATGCATAAAATATATAATTTTACATATTTATTATATATTATATGTATAAATAGATCATTCAAAAATAATATATAACACTTATTTGATAAGTTTATATTATTTTTCTTTTATTATTGTATCCTAAGTTATTTAGTTCAAAACTTTTAATTAGTTTTATATGTTTTTAATTGGTGCACATGTGGGTTAAAGTAATGGATATTTGTGCCCTCTAAGTGTTCGGATCTAAATTTTTTTTTAAAAAATAGAATATGTTTTGAGGTGTGGTAGACACATATCAAAAATATCTAACAAGTGTCGTTATCTGACACGAACATAACATGGATATGCCACATTCTTAAAAGTATCCATACTTCTTAGTGAGAGATATAAAAAATATTGTCTTATAAATAAATTAATGAAATAATGAGTTTCAAATAATTGTCATAAGTGAATAATTAATGACTTGCTTTTATACTGTTGATATATTTAGTAGTACATAATATCACATGATATTTTAAAATATTTAAAAATTTTCTCTGTTAAGGACTAATACAGCTCTTATTAAGGTAATATACATAAATTAAAAGAATTAAATTGTGCCGTTGGTTGAAAGTAGATAAAAATTTCAACTTTAAATTTATTTTCTTTGTAATAAGATTTGTGCGTTAAGTTTTGTGTTTTCAAAATAGCCATCGGCATGGACTGGGTTAGATTAAGTTGTACTCAATTTGTTATATATTTTGATTTTGAAATTTTTTTCTTTCTAATAAGATTTGTAGTGCCTTCAAAATAGCCGTTGGACCGATTAAAAAAAAAAAAAAAAAAAAAAAAAGATATCGCCGTTGGCATCAGCTAGGTTAGACTCAGTTTGAACTCGATTTGCTATAAAATTTGATTTTGAATGTATGATTTCTAAGCTAAGTTTTGTGTCTTCAAAGTAGCCGTCAAGAAAAATGTCTGATAGGCCGAATTCGTATGACTCGAATAGCTTGAATGTGTCAAAACGATATCGTTTTACACTCAAAATGACGTTGTTTCATTTTGGATATTTCGAGTCATTCGAGATATGAATTTTTGAATTACCTAGTATTATTGTTAAAAAAAAAAAGCAGTTGGCATCGGCTGGGTTAAACTTGGTCTGAACTCAATTTACTATTTTAATTTTGAATTTTTTTTCTTTGTAATAAGATTTCTAAGTTAAGTTTTGTACCTTCAAAACAGTTCGTTGGACCGATAAAAAAAAAAGAAAAAAAAAGCCTTTGGCCTTGATATTTTTATGAAAAGGCATAAATATGGTGTTATATATAAATCAATAATTTTTTATATAGAACTTTTATTTGAAATATATATTAGTGGTTCACAATTGCAATTAGTTATAAGATCAATTCAACTTACGTTTGCGCCTCAATTAATTGAAATTGACTACACGTTGGCCTTGTTTGGGAAAGGTTAAAAGTTGGCTTTTTAGATTAAAATTTATAAAAAAATAAAATAAATTAAAATGGTTAATAAGATAAAATATCATATCAAATTCATAATTATTTTATTTTTTTCTCTCACAAACATCACATCTAATTATAAAAAAAAAATTAACACAAATTCAAAAAGAAGAATTTTTTAAAATATTAAAATTTTATAAGATAAATGATATATAATATTTTTATAGTAGTTGAGATTTTTCAACATTTTTACAAAAAAAATTCGATTTAAAGAAATTTTAACCCGGCTTTGAGAAATTTATCTGATTTTAAGATAAATTCTTTCCTACCATACATACGAAGTTAAAGGGAGATATTTTATTAATTTAGTCATTAAAAAAAATAATAATAAGAAAAAGCAAAATGGATTTTTTAGATTGATTCCAAACTTAACTTTACACTAATGGGGTGAACGTGCAAGTCACGTGAGCAATATTTGTTTCACGACCTCGTCTTCTAATAGACTGCGGGCCTGAAAAAAAAAAAGCCTCCACCACTTGGGTCACATTTCTAGTTGAAACGTGCACTGATTCTCTCACTCTCTCTCTCCAGTTCTGTCACTCTCACTCTACTTTTTCTCTCTCTTACGCTGCATTTCTTGTTGTCATTCGGATTTCTTTGGTTCTACTTCCGTCCCTGCCCCAACCTCACCATCTTTTTCAACAAAAGAATTATTCGATTTCATCTTCTCTCTCTCTCTCTCTCTCTAGAGTTTCTTCTCAACATTCAACATTCTTGATTTCTCATCTCTCTAGTTCTGATCCCAAATTGCATTTTAAGCTCTCACTCACATCCACCCAAATGAAGGTTTGATGCTTCGATTCTAATTCAGATTATTCCTCAATTTGATTCTTATATTTTGTTCTGATTCTTCACGAGGGTTATTGCCTTCTTTTTCTTTCTTTTTTTTTTTCCTAAGGATTTAAGATGAGATTCTTTAAATCGTAGAATGGGTCTTTTGGGGAGCATTTGGAATCCACTTTTTGTCTTGGATTATTTTTTTTTTAATGGGTTCTGAGTATTTGAATTTTCTGGTACTTTCTATTACCTTTTGATGTTCATATATGAGATGTTGAATGGGGTTTGATTATTGATTAATTTCTGTGAATCTAGTTGATTCTCTGATTTAAATTGATATCCACTTTTTGCCTCTTGAACTTTGTGGATTAAAAAAATATGTGTTGATTTATTAGTATTAGAATTTCTAGTACTTTCTACTATTGATTCTCTGATTTCAATTGATATCCATTTTTTTGTCTCTGAACTTTTTGGATTTAAACCCAAAAAAAGATAAAAAAAGACGGGATTTTTAGTATTAGAACTTCTGTCACTTTTTATTAATTTTATTTTTAATTTTTAAATGTTCATTGATGATATATTGAATGGTATTTGATTCAATTCTGTGAATCTTTCAATTGATAAAGCTTTGTTAACTCTTTTGGTTTTGATTTATGTTGTTCCAAATTGGGTGGTTGGGAAAAAAAAAGAAAAAAAGAGTTTTCTTTGCCTAGTTGAGAAGATTGGTTGGTTGTGATAGAGATCTTTTGTTCTTGACTTGTTCTTGCAGAAGCTTGTCTTGAAATTGGATTTACATGATGACAAAGACAAGAGGAAGGCCTTGAAGATGGTCACTACCCTTGCTGGTAACAAATATGTGGTGTTTCAAATTTACCCAATTTGACTGTTCTAATATATTTACCCCTATTTTTTCACTTTTTATTTATTTATTTATTATATTTTTTCGTTCATAAATTCCTACGAATCCAAACACAGCTTTAAAAAAAAAAAACAGACGTAGAAGAAGAATGTCTTTGTTTTCCTTGATTTAAAATTAATAATAATATTCCATGGAATTGATTATATTTGCTCTTGTTTTGGGATTTTGGTAAGAATGCTAAAAAATACTGTAGAGGGGATTTCTTTATGAGAAAAGTTAGCGATTATGAAATTTTTTTCATGAAAATGGTCATGAAAGATTTATGATCCTTGGATTACCTTGATTAGTGTATGGTGCTTTATTCTAAGTATAATTCAAGGGTCACAAAGTTTTCATTATTATTTTCATGAAAGGTTTTTCATGATACCTAACATTTCTTTATTGAGGCTTTTATTCATTGTTTCCACAGAATTCAATTGGGACAGCTATGAAAAAAAGAGAGTATCCTGTGCATGTAAAATCATTTTGGAAAACTCAACCAGAATAAGTAAACTTTTAAATGTTGAGATTTTTGTTGAAATTTTTTTTTTTTTTTTTTTTTAGCGAGATATATGGTAAACTTGAATATAAAATGACCGTAATTTTGCTAGTTGCCATCAAGGTGGTGCAACAATGTTGCGTACCCAAAAAAGTGCCAAGAATTTGAAATGTGTATTAAACTTTGTGTGGTGTGAGCTACGCCTAGAATGAATATAATGTACACATTTCATATTCTTGGCACTTTTCTGAGTAGATAGCATTTCTTTATATGATGACATGAAAAAAATAATAAAAATTAGTGGCATTTTTTGAGGTAATTTCTGTTAAAAGATTCAAAGCAGATTTTTGGTAGAAGTTTGCCTTCAGAGGCATTATGGCAAGGCATAAAAAGTGCTTGCATGATATCTAAAAGGGAGGGAAGGGTTAAGGGACTTTTAAAAAGGGGAAAAAAAAAGGGGTAAAAGAAAGAATTGGATGAATTGTGGATTTGTATTGTGATTGCGTAGGAATTGATTCTATCTCCATGGACATGAAAGGCAAGAAATTGACAGTGGTTGGAACGGTGGATCCTGTAAAACTAGTGGGCAAATTGCGCAAATTTTGGGCAGCTGATATTATCCTTGTAGGACCGGCGAAAGAGCCTGAGAAGAAAGAGGAGGCGAAGAAGGAAGAACCTAAGAAAGAGGAGCCAAAGAAGGAGGAACCCAAGAAGGAGGAACCCAAGAAAGAAGAACCCAAGAAAGAGGAACCAAAGAAAGAAGAGGAAGCGAAAAAAGAAGAGCCCAAGAAGGAAGAGGAGAAGAAGGAACTAGCACCGGTGGTTGGAATCATGCCATACAGGCCATATTATTATCCTCCTCCACCGAGCACTTATTATCCTCCTCTGAGCACATATCGCTATGCTAATCATAGCATGGAAGAGAATCCGAGCGCATGCGTTATCTGTTGATTTGGTAAGATAATATTGGCTTTGTGCTTCTTTTAGTTGGTATTTGGTTTTATATTTTTTTGATGCAAATCCGACTGAGCACATCTGAGAACAGAGAAAATCTTGTGTATAGTTGGTGATGTTCTGTAGGTCTGTTCAAAATTAAGCAGATATGTAGAGAGAACTAAATAAATTTTGATAACTATATTGAATGCTTAAGTTGGAGCTGATGTTCTTACAGTAGTGCCACGAACAAATTTTCACATAAAAGTGTCCAGAATGAAGCCAATGATGCATTCTGGATACTTATCTAGAAATTTTTGTGTTTGTATTGATAATTATTCTGAATGCTTAAGTTGGAGATGATGTTCTCATAAAGTGCTACAAACACAAAATTTCACATAGAAGTGTCCAGAATGCAAAATGTAATGGCGCCAACACTACATTTTAGACAAGTCTTTGGAAAAAATTTGTGTTTGTATTGACAATTATTCTGAACACTCAAGTGAGAGCTGATGTTCTTACAGTAGCGCTACAAACACAAATTTCACAAAAAAGTGTTCAGAATGCAGTACTGCCAGCACAACAATCTAGGATGAATGTAGTAATGCCAAAATTGCATTCTGTACCCGTTTTTCTCAAAAAAATTGGGTTTGTATTGTTTTCCGTGTTCTTGATATGAATGCTCTATCTTAGTATGGGACAAGGTGGTTCAAACCTACAAGTCAGCTTTTGAAATTTTGTGATGCAAGGCCCATAATGTTGTTAGGAAGATCTTTTCCTTGGATTGAGATTGCTTTGCTGAGAAATTTCTCTCTGTAATTATAATCTCTGCTGAGAAATTTTGGTAGTTGATACCTACAGATTTGGACACGAGATATGGTGATTTTAATAGAGATATGGATATGGCGGTAGACATGGCAAATTATTATTATTTTTAATATATATTTTTCCCATGTACATTAATATTATGCTATCAAATAATCAAATTAATAAAAATTAATTCAATATATATATATATATGTAAATCACTACATTTAAGTAAATTAATAGATTATCCATTTTAAGCACACGTCTCATGTAAAAAAATAAAAATAAAAATAAAAAAATTAAAGGGATCCTCCATTTGGTATGTTCTTATTTTGTTCTCGACGTGTCCCTTTTAAAAAAATAATAAGATTAAAGAGACATGTCATTTGGCGTGTTCTATATACATTCTTGACATATTCTTGTGTCTAACATATACATATTTTCGACGTATTCCCGTGCTTCCAACACCATTACGATATCTATTTTAAAGTATCCGTACTTCATAAGTTGATACAAGAACTAACTTTCAAAGTGTAGCATTTCTCAGTTGTTAAGACAAGAATGCGTTACTAACTCTTCTTTTATTCCACATGGAAACTCTGGCTGCTGAGTTGGTTTTTGTGTATATAAATGTTAGTGCATGTGATTATGATGGCCTTGTCTGTAATTTAAGAAACTTTCCTCTTCAAATTAGTGGTTTCGCATGCATACACTGATACATTTATTAGTATTCTTTTTGGATAAAGTACAATTATAATTCCTAAAATATGTATTTCATCTTACTTTGTTTCTTTAAATTTTTAAATTGTCAATTTTGATTAATGGAATAATAATAAAATAAACCAATGACTCTTAAAATATGCATTTCGTGCTACTTTTATTTTCAACGTTTTAATTTTATCATTTTAATCTCTACACTAATGAAAAAGGCAAAATATAATCTTACATATGAGTTTTATTTTATTTTTTTATTATTTACTTCAGCTTCTTGGATTTAAGTGATAGCTTTGAACTAGCATCCTGTTGTTGTTGTATTATAGTCCTATATATAATTATTCACTCTTTGTTTGTTTCTTGAAATTATAGTCCTTTGGATAATTATTTGCTCTTTGTTTGTTTCTTGGGATGGGGTGGAGTAAAAATGGCTGTATTAAAAGACTATATTAAAACATTCTATCAGATCTTGATGGTACCTTAAAACTATCAATCTGTTTACAGTCTTTTTCAACCTCTCTTTTTTACCTCTCTTTTTTAAAGTTTGAAAACTTGTAGCCAACCAAAAACGGAGGGTCTTGGTTCAAAGTAGATGTCAATCACTCTTCAGTGTTTGTTACGTCTTTTACTAGACTTCAAGCAAAGTTACCAATTACTTAGAGCACAAATTATTATTTTTAAATATATAACTTGGGGATATCCTTAGAGAATTTGAAGGTTGCCAAAAATTTCGAATTTTCTAGAAATGATAAGAGGTTTAGATTTTTCAACGGTTGTAACTAGAAACATAATAGTAAATAGATGATGGAAATAAGAGATTGGGTGAAGAAGAAGGTAAAGTAGTTAGAGAGAAAATAATGGCAAGGCTCTCCTTTCCATCACTCACTTTCACTCTCAAAGTAGATAATCGATAAGGGAAATTAGTTCTCTCCCAAAAAATTGTCTCTCTCAAAATCCATCCCCTTGTGAAGTTATGGGTGAGTGCTATTTATAGGCATCTTAAGATGTAGAATGGAGCTCATGTGTAAGACACATAGGAAATATTCTCTCAAATCACTTTGTCTGATAAGGTGACTTATCTGAAGATGAGAAAAATCTCAAAGAGGAGATCAACTTCTCGACAAACCCTTCTTCTTAACCACGTCTAACCAATGATTCCCAATCATTCCAAAAGGTCAGGGGTAGTCCCAGAGGATGCCCTACCATAGAAAGGTCAGGAGTTGTTCAAGAGAACGCCATGTTGCATATATTACCGAGTCTCAAGGACCTCCTAGATCGTGCCACATTGACCCGGGTATAGGCTTATTTAATCGAAGAGTGAATTTATTTCCACTCACTGTCCTCGGGATCGAGCCCTTTGTTCGAACTCCGTCACGCCCATGGTTCCAGCGTGTAGATCCCGGAAAGTTCCGAGCTCGCAAGTGTTTTGGGACTAAGTAACAGAGTGACTTTTAGATTGCGTCTGAATCCGTTCGAAGCTAAACGCTTCGGATCTCTAGGTTCATGGATCTAAATCCTTTTGAGTCTGAGCTCAAATAAGTCTTTAAGTTTGTGGTTCCGAACCCTTTTGAAACTAAGCAAATACCTTGGAGAATGGATCTCCTTCGAGGGTTTCATCTTTTCTAAAAACAATGATCAACCTTCTCGGACGCCTGTATGATCTGGGCTTCCTCGGATGGGCTTGTTGGACTTTCTCTAGAGATATAAGTCCAGTGGGTCTTTCTCGGCCCAATTTGTTGACTTTTTCGCGGGTCTATTCAATAGAATTCAATTAAAACCACTTGGTGATAATTTCTCTAGACATATTAAGTTTTGGGTTTTCTGATTGGGCTCCGATTGAATCTAATTAATTTAATGGGTTCAAGTTAAACCATCTTACAACAACAATTAAGTTCTCAAACTTTAATTTAATTAAAATTTGAGGAATAGTTGAAATATAAAGAGAAAGTAAAAATTGAGTGAGAGTAGGAGTGCAAAAATGGCCCGCGGCCTGTGAGTGGCCCTAAGCCTACCCGTTTGGGCCTAGGCCTGGGCTATCTTTTGAAGCCTGGCCCGGTCCATGGGCCAGACTCATGGGCCAGCCCATCGGCCCGTTTAAGGCCTACGTAAGACCCGACTTGAGACCTAGATCGCGCCGAGACCCGGTGTCGTTTTTAGTAGAAAATAATAAAATTTTGATAGAAAAAATTAAAAAAAATGGTCAGGCCTGCTCAAGCCCAGACCCACTGGGTTGGCCTGAGGCCCGGCCCACCAGCCCACTGAAGGCCCAAATACCCTTGGGTTTAGGGTTGGTCTCGACCCAGACGTAATTTTTTGGCCCGTGGCCCGGTCCGATTGGGCCCGAATTTTGACGGGAGCTTGCGGGGCCTGAGATGGGCCAGGTTAGGTCAGATTTACATCCCTAAGTGAGAGTCAAAGAGCAAAAAGTATAATTTTTTAGTAATTTCTTTTCCTTTAATACTCTTATAACTTGCTTGCAGAACCATTTCATAATTGTTAGTAATTTTTGGCCATTTTTTTAATGGTGAGTGATGGAGGATTAATTGAAATAATAATTAAGTTTTGAAGACTTAATTGTTACACTTCGAAGATGAGGGATTAAAATAAAATTCGAATAAAATTTTAAAAAATAGATTTTTTATTTTTTTTTTGCCCATAGCACTATTGAAATTGATCAAAGTGATGCATAACATAAACATGCAAAATAGTTTTATAAATACCAAAGTTATATTTGGTAATCCAATTGATGAATTCACTTGAATTCTTTTGTTTCTAATATTTGATTCATCTTATTATTCAACCTTTTGTTAATTTTATCTATTATGTGAAATAATACCAAAGAACTAAACTTTCTCTCAAAATGATTCTTACTTGGAAAAATTAGTCTAAGGTCCCTCTCCCATTTTTAATAATGGAAGAGATTCACAATATTATTTTTGATGTCTAAGGTTCCTAAACCCCACTTCCATCTATCACAGAGAAATTTGATATATCTTATGTTCTCTATCTCTCTCTCTCGCTGCTTTTCTCTCTCTCTCTCTCGTCAATCTCAAAGACGAGATCACTCCATTCTTGTCCTGATCATACAACTTGAAGGCATCCTTCTGCCCTGCCATACCACCGTTATCTCCGGTGGCTCCGGCGGTGTCGCCGCTGTTGCAGAAACTGGCGAACTCTTCGAGACTAATGAAGACGTCGAAGTCAGTGTCGAGCTCTTCTATCATCTGCTTCACTTTGTCCTTCGATGTATTAGATTGGAGAGCTTTCATGGCTGATATGAGCTCCGTCGCCGAGATCTTGCCATTGCTGTTGGCGTCAAAGTGATTGAACACCTTCTTCACATCCTTCTTGTCCTGTAAGTACATGGCTTTGGGCCTGAGTTATGGTTAGAATGGGAATGGATTGATATCAATGAAGGAATTGCACGCTGTGTTGAAGAGCTTGGAAGAGAAGTGCTCATGGAGAGATTGTTTGAAGATAATCAAGTCTATTGAATTTCTCTGAGAAGTCCAGTTTAGAGAAATTTGGATTCCCAGAATTTTTCTAGAGTTGTGGCTATGTTTTTTTTCTCTTTTCTTTGAGCTGTTGTTGACGCAAGTGAGATCATAGGTGGCTAGTTTGCAGCTGTTGTATCTGCTTGTTGTCCAGCTTATTCTAGAAGGGTCAAATTGAGCCATTGATAGGTGGAGTTGATACTGTTATTGCCTCATGCTA